AAAAGCGCTTTACAAATGCAATCCATTATATTGAGGACATATATCAAATAGAATATTTCATTTTGTATTTGCAGGAGTTTGAGCTGCAAAGCTTAATGTACTAAGCATAATAAATAGCTGTTTTTACATTTCAACCTGATACTCACAGGATTACAGATAAATCGAGCACCGTGCAGTTTCAGATATGCAGTGCCGCTTAATTTCAGCACAACTGTTCTGTTAAGTTTCCAAGTTGAGGGGAACTTTTCCAAGAAATGTCGAGGTCTCTGGCCTGTTAATTCTCTGGAGGACACGCTGTAGTTGAAGACAAACAGTGTCGCAGAGCTTTAAGAGCAGCCAGTCCAAATCCACCAACGTTAATCCGTCCATGTAAGAAGTGCCTCTCATGCTCTCAGAGGGCTTCTTCTCTCTGAGCTTTTAAAAGAAACAGTTAAAACTGTTTGTGCAGCCTCTGAGCATCTTACTGTAAATATAACCAAGAAACTCTATGACAGTATAAACATAATAATAATGGCTTACTTTGATCACTGTTGGTTATTTTTATATTCAGAATACAACAGTTTTTTTCATTCATCTTTTTTTCATCAGTTTTTACATTTCAACACGAAATCATAGGATAAGTTCTTAAGCGATTGTTTAACAATTACTAATTAAACTCTTCTAATATAATGTTAATAAATAAAACCAACTCGGTTAGAAATGTTCGTCTAGAAAGATTAAAGTTACAGATGAGAAATAAAACTGTTTACATTAATTGTTGCGAGCGTGATCAGAAGGACACCTCTGTGTCTTGTTTCACAAATCAAACAAAGATTTTAAAGTTAACTGAGATTAACTTAATCTGAAAATGTTGATGTGATTTTAATCTCCATCACTGTCAATCTGTGTCTGCAGATTCTGAAAACCCAACGAAACAACTCAGTTATGTGAAGTAAAACTGTGACCTGTGAGCACTTCAGAGCCTGTGTTTGTTAAAAATAGTTCCGTTTGTGTGTGAACGCTCTTTCCGAGAAGAATTGATCCCTCTCAGCCAGACTAAAGTGCCCAGCAGACTGTTCACAAAGCTCAGGGATCTGGGACTCAACAGCCGTCTGTGTGCGTGGGTGTTGGACTTCCTCACTGGCAGAATCAGGTGGTGAGGGTGGGTAGATGCGTCTCTAACAGCATCCCCATCAACACAGGAGCACCTCAGGGATGTGTCCTCTCGCCACTGCTCTACTCCCTCTACACTTCAGACTGTGTGGCCACCCACGGCTCCAACACCATTGTGAAGTTTGCTGACGACACAGTGGTGTTGGGCGCCATCTCC